CTACAAAATTACCCCAATAATTAATATTAAAGAATTATATTAAAAAAAAAAGATAAATTATATTGACACCCCCTGACATTTGATTTTACTACACGAACACCCCCTCACATTTTCAAAATTACACTAAAACCCCACAAAATGAACATCATTGATGGCACAAACAAAAAGACCACTTTACCATCACATTAACTACTCATAAAGACCCAAGATCCAAGACTCAAAACTTAAGGTCCAAAACCCCCTCCCTTGAAAGTTGATCCCCCCACACTCTCTCTCTTTCTTTCTCTCACTCATGATGAATCGAAACCCCAGCAATCGACTCTCTCTCTCTCTCTCATGACAAATCAAAGCCACCAACACCCAACAACACAACCATAACCGATCTATCAACACTATCGCCACTTATAAGATTTGATGTTCGATTGGCGCACGAACGAATCTTTACCTAGAGTTTGTGATCTCTATCTCTCTCTTTGTGATCGTAACCTAGGTGGTGGAACTGGTGGTGATGGATTTTGAAACCTTAACATTTGCGATGTGGTGGTGTTAGTTGATGATGGGTTTGGTCTAGGTGGTGGTGGATACAGGGGTGGTTTCAATGGATTTTAGTTTTAGTTTCTCCTCTCTATTTGTGCTGGTGGTGGTGGGTCTGACTTGATTTAGAAGTTTTGATGGATTTGGTTGGGTTTGGAAGTTTTGGTGGGTCTAGCTGGGTTTGGAAGTTTTGGTGGGTGTAGGTGGTGGAACTGGTGGTGAAGTTTTGGTGGGTTTAGAATCAGATGGTGGAATCGGCGGGGATGAATGGGTTTAAGTGGTAGAACCGGTGGTGATAAATGGGTTTTGGTGGTGGAACCGGTGGTGATAGGTGGGTTTTGGTGGTGGAATTGGTGGTGATAGGTGGGTTTCGGTGGTGATGGGAGGTAGGAGTAAAAATTTATGTAATTAGATAAATAATAAATAAAAATAAAATTAATATGGTATAATTGGATAAATAATTATTAAATTTTTATACTGAACTAATAATCTCATATATTATTTAATAAACAAAAAAATAAAATAAAAAATAACTTCTTAATGTAATAGATTAGGAATTTAAACATTTTAATGTTAAATTTTAAATTTTAATTTATATATGAAATATATATATTAAAAAAAATAAATGAGAGGTTAGGTAAATTGATAGGGTAAGAAAAACATTTATTTGAATTCTTAAATTTAATTGTGGAGGGTATTTTTGGTATTCTAATAATCATTGTTGATGACATTAATTTTGATTATAAATAATTCTAACGTCTGTTAGTTAGAGGAGGTATGGTTGTTACAAGTATTAAATGTCAAGGGAGTTCGATATTATTTTTAAAATGTGAGAGGGTATCGTGTAATAAAATTAAATGTTAGGGCGTGTCAGTATAATTTATCTTAAAAAAATCAAATGAATTCAATAGGACAAAAAGTACGCTCAAAATTCTCGAAAAAAATTTTAATTAGAAAAAGTCAATAAAAAATTTTCCTTTAAAGACTAAATTACACATCGAGGGTCTTTCATTTTTTTCTTGATACAGTCAAAGGTGTTTAATTAATTTACTTGTATTTCAATTAATTTCACCTTTGTTCGGTCAAAAGAATATCATCTAAGTTGAAACTATAATATTTATAAAAGATAAATTTCTCACAATTTAATTCTAAAAAATTATCAAAATTTTGAACTCCGTCTTATGAGTTAATCCGGTTAATCCTTTCAGTATTCACAAACTCTCTCATCACTTGCGTAGATCTGGTTACTCTTGCCGAACCTTCAAAGTGCCCTTAAAATAGTGGCCCGTTTGAGGTTCTGGCCCAGAGTTGACTTTGCCCCCGATCCAACCTCCAATATTGGTTTTGTTTGACCCGAATTGAGTTTGAACCAAAATGCCTGTACCCGATCCAACTCACATATTTTGTTTTTATTTTACCCGATCCGGACCTCCGGTGATGGCGCAATAATTCATGCAATTGAGACTTTGCTGCTCATTAAAGGGTCAAACTTCAAAAGGCAACAGAACTTTGAGGCTGAAGATTACAGTCAACCGTCCGATTAAAAAACGGATTCAAATCACATCAAACGTGTCAACTACTTCCGAGGGCATTTTCGTAAATTCACCATGATCCATTACTCAAATGGACAAGTAAATGTCAAATATAATTATTATACCACATCAACATTATCCCGTATTATAATTATTTATTAATAAAATAATAAATAAATAAAATAAAATCCACTTTTATATGTCGATCATTGTTATTTTACATGAATTATGTAATTATTAAATTTTATAGGGTGCACTACTTTACCTCTTAATATATCATTTGATAATTACACCATATAATAATAATGGCGTAATTAAATCAAGGTAACATTGTTTCTAATAAAAATTTAACAAATATGCAAAATAAATCCTCACTTTTTAAAATAATTACCTATTCTTCTAAAATAGTAACCGCGTCATATAATAAATTATCATTTGAATGGTTACACCGCCTGATTTACTCTCACATTGATTTTTTGAATTATTTTTTCCAAGTCATTTTGGTTTTTATTCAATTGTCAATGGTATTCGAATTAATTTAAACATAATTCGACTAATTTTTTTTCTAATTTGGTTAAAGAGAAACCATTCACTTTAAAATTATAATATTTATAAAAAATAAATCATTCCTTATCACTTAAACCAACCTTTGAGTCTTTTCCACGTCATTCGTCACGTCTCATGGTTCGTTTAGAATCTGAATGAATAGTAAATAATGATGGAAATATTTAAAAATTGATTCGGTAGTGAGAGTAGCCAACTTATGTCGCAGGTTCATGGCTAGACAATGCACCCGCACCTTTCACCTTACACGTGTTTTCCCATTCATGTGACTGTGACTTATATTTTTATTCAAAATTTGCATAATTTTTAACCCGTGCCAAAAAAAAATGATATAATATAAAATTCGAGTGCTAAAAAATTAACCTCATTATATGAAATAACAATATTTCTATTTTACAATCCACTAATTTTAAAAAAAATTGATCTCACTATATTTAATTACATAATTTAAAATTAATTCTATTACTTATTTAAAAATTTTATTTTTTTTTCAAAAAAATATTACCTCAACAAATATCAACTTGTCTGAAATAAATTATTTAACTTGTTATAGAAATAGATGGCGTGATATAAATGAGCGAAAAAAAATATATGGAGATGAAATTCAAATTTTTAGCTAAAAAAAAAAAAGAAAAAATTTATAGATCCCTTATTATATAGATCGGGGGAAATCTGGTGTTGATTAGTGTGAAAATGTATAGACTAAGTCAGATTTTCAAGTTTTAGGGAAAAAAAATATTTGTAATAATTTTCAGCCATTAGATTAAATAAATTCAAACCACTATTGTACTGCGTTAAGTGAAGAAATTTAAAATGGGTTATATTTTTATTATAGAAATTGGTATGATTATGACATATATCACCCTAATCTAACTCAAATTTAAGGGCGGAGCCAAAAATTTGTGTAAAGGATGGGCAAAATATAACTAGAACAAATTCACTAATAAAATTTTAAGTTCAAATACAAAAAAAAAAAAATCAAGATAAAAAAAACTAGTTTTTATTTAGCCTAAATAAAATATCAATAAAAAATAAGGCTAAATATACAATTGTTTAAAAATTTAGGGGACCAAATATATTAAATTAAACAAAATTACGTTAAAAAGTATGACATAAATGAAAAAGAATTAATAAGGGCCTCCTATGGCCCTAGTCCTAACGTGGCTCCGCTATTGCTATAATTCATATTGAATAATGAGAAATTAAGAAAATTTGAAGAAAACATATATGAAGGGATTCAATTTATAAATAAATTTAGAATTTTATTTTATTTAATGCACCTCCATATAAATAGCAAAAATTGTCAATCGAAAAAGTATATATTTCTCTTATTCTATAATTCATTCAAAAACCAACGAGATCTAAGAGAGATAGGTGATATATTATTTTATTTATATTTTAATAGATAAATTTTTGAATTTGATTGATAATAAGTTAATGAATTCAAATATCTTCTAATATATTTTTCTCTTTAATTTTTTTTTTTTGACAATCGTGCATTATTAATGAGTGAGAGATTCACTTTATATATAAAAGAGAAGTCACACTTGAATGTATGATATATGATATGTCAAAAAAAAGAATTAAAGAAATATTGTATTGAATGCTATGTTACTTTCTTATCGATGAACACTTGTCCACACAAAATATTAAAATATTATTGGAATGAAGACATATATGGGAAATATTATGTATCTTAAATTTACAATTCAAATTTGTATCATAAATGAAAGGGGGACCATTGAATTAGTGGGTCCCATCAATTTTTTTAAATGGAACCCACTGATCCAATAGTCTCCATGCATTTGGGATACAAATTTAAATTAGATAACATTACTCAACATATATTATTTGTACTCACTCTTTCATTTTTGTTAAATTACACTCAAGATTGATGAAAATAAAAGATAAATACATATATCATATCAACTTGCTACTTCTTTATCTCGTAGTTTTGCTTTTGAATCGTGGAGTAACACCAAAAAGAGTGAGTTGTTAGGATTTAAGAAGTGAGAATAAGACTAAAATGGCCCCTATTAAGTATGAGAAATGTTATTTGGACAAACAATATTAACTCTCACCATCGATAACTATTGAATAAATAATAAATTTTAATAAATATTAAAATTCACAATTAAATAAATGAGAATGATGTTGAGGGTCAACGAATGCTGTCAATTTGTTTTGTCTAAGTCGCATTGCTCATTAAGTAAAGTTCAAAGTTATTTTGCCACGTGTATGCTTGATGTCGAGGGTCCATTAGACTTAACATAGCTCACCAGTATACTAATACTGCCTATTAACTGTTCAAAATTAAATAAAGAAAAGTTATTAATTTTTAAATGTCTACCTGCATACACGTCTGAACCACTCTCTCTCTCTCTCTCTAAAAAAAGCCAGAAAAAAGACGGAGATAGAATGCGAGACTGTGAGTGACTATTACCGTATTAGGCTCTAGAGATAGAGAGAGAGGGAGAGAGAGAGAACTCAAAGTAAAACTCCGACCATTTCGAAGAAACTATGTTCAGACGCCTCTTGCTCTTCCTCACCTTCTTGTTAGCTCCCAAACCTTCCTACACTGGACCGGGTTAGCTCTCTCTTCGTCTCTCTCTCTGTGTGACTTTGTCTGTTTATGATATACTTATTTATGTAGATTTATATTTCTGTTTTGTTCCTTGATAGTTCAATTGGGGTTTTTGGAAGTAGTTTTTGCTTAATGTAATTGAAGCTTTTACTAAAAATGACTAGTTAACTGCTTAGTTTATGGTTATGATGACCAATTTTGAGACTAAGGGATTTTTTTTTTATCCTTCGTTGATTGAGTTTATTTGGGTTTGTTTGGAGTACTGGTCCTTTTGTTGGGCTTTTGGGTATTGTTACATGGTGGTAAGTGCTGGCATTTTGGTTGGAGAGAGAGAGAATTGGGGATGGGTATTTTTTTGCTGTTATAAAGTTGGGATCAAAGGACAAGAATGACTTGTTGGGATCTGTCTGGTTGGGTGCAGATTCGATGTTAAAATCTGCTGGTTTTCATATGCTTTTAAGTGGAACTGGGTGTCACATTCATGATGTATTGCAAAATCTTCAATGAGTTTGAATTATTTTCTAAGAAATAAGGTTACTGCATAGAGTGAGCAGAAGATATTTATCTAGTACTGATACATAATTATGCAATCTAGCATACATGCCATGTCAGCTAGAGAGTAGAGAGTAAGACTTCCAAATGCAACTGTATATGTTTAAGAATTAGAAGGTCCTACTTAATTATTGGGCTCTTCTTTTTTGAGTTCTGTTTCTTAGATCCTATTTTGTTCATTGCAGCACCATATGCTCTACGAATAAGCTGTGGAGCTCGTAATGATGTCCATACTCCACCAACAAATACACTATGGTACAAGGATTTTGCCTATACAGGAGGGATACCTGCTAATGGAACCCGCCCAAGTTTTATCACTCCTCCGCTTACTACCCTTCGCTATTTCCCTTTATCTGAGGGCCCTGAAAATTGCTACAACATCAATAAAGTGCCCCATGGCCACTATTCAGTGAGGATCTTTTTCGGATTGGTTGCCGAACCCAGTTTTGACAATGAGCCTCTGTTTGATGTTTCTGTTGAAGGAACACTAGTTTATTCTTTGCCATCCGGTTGGAGCAACCATGATGATGAGCAAGCTTTTGTTGAAGCCCTTGTATTTCTAGAAGATGGCACTGCTTCTCTTTGCTTTCATAGCACTGGTCATGGAGATCCGGCGATACTTGCAATTGAAATTCTTCAAGTTAACGATGGAGCATACTATTTCGGGCCAGACTACGGTCAAGGAACAATCCTAAGAACTGACAGAAGACTGAGCTGTGGTGCTCAGAATCCAAAATATGGTGTAGACTACAGTGCCAACCACTGGGGTGGGGATCGATTCTGGAATTCCATCACTACTTTTGGCGCAGGTTCTGATCGCGCTATATCAACCAACAGTAACATCAAACACGCCTCAAATCCGCCAAACTTTTATCCAGAAGCTATTTATCAGACTGCTCTTCTTAGTACTGATAGTCAGCCAGATTTAGCTTACACGATGGATGTGGATCCCAATAGAAACTACTCCATTTGGTTACACTTTGCAGAGATTGATCCTTCTGTTACGGGGGCAGGACAAAGGATATTTGATGTCTTGATTAACGGTGATGTTACATTTCAAGGCATCGACATTGTGAATATGACTGGGGATATTAACAGTGCTCTTGTACTGAACAAGACTTTTGCTGTTAATGGGAGGACTTTGACAATAACTATACACCCCACGAATGGAGGTCATGCCATAATTAATGCCATTGAGATCTTTGAGATTATCATGGCTGAGTTCAAGACGTTATCAGATGAAGGTGTATCTAACAACCTCCTAACCTACTGTGAAGGCATTTTAGAATTCTTTGTCTCTGACTTGTTTTTGGTGATGGAACAAAATTTCAAACTAAAAAGTACTATTTTATCTAGTATTGCACAATCGTATCTCTTGAGTATAGCCTGCCATCTTATTTCAGCTTCACTAATTTTTCATACTAAGGGTTTTACTACTTATTCTGCAAATGTGCATGTGCAACATGCTATACATTACACTTAGAGATTGTGTTGCTTTTCAGTGAGTATTGTCTTAAATTGTTGACATTGGTATGTCGCACACAATACGATCCAGAGAGAAGGTTAATAGCCTTCTTATGAAAGACATTTGCAGCATCCGAAATCGAAATCTGAGTGGATCCTTTGCAATATAGTCAACTGGGCATCTAACTTCATAGAACATGCTGAGATGGCACTGCTTTTCTGCATATAATATGACTTGTATCTCACTTTTATATAATCCAAACATATAGGTCACTGGTCACCAATGATTTCCTCATTACTATAAATATCTTAATTTGTGCAGCCTACTTCTGAGATCTGATCATTTGACATGGGATCATACTTACATGCATCTGTCAGCCTTCAATGCCCGAAATGTTTTGCTGCCTGAGATTTTACAAATTTTGTTCTCATCTGTCTCTCTTTGCCTCTACAAAAGGAATGAAGTAGGACAACAAACTAAATCCACTTGGGCTTCAACTAAAGCCACTTAACAAGGTGCAAAGTTGCCAAGATGGAAGAGCTTAAATCCTGTATTAAATAACCATTGCCTTATGCTTTTCAAGGGAAGTTCAATCATGGGAAAAATAGGGATTACCTAATGATTTGTAAATGTGAATTGCTTGAAGAACTTTCTACAATAGTATTTTTGAACATCTGTCTGAAAATTGAAATTGTTACATTGAGAAGAAAAAAAACTGATGTAGCAAGTAGCTAGAGCTCATTATTTTTTTTAAACGAAAATATGTAGCAAGTAGGGAACAAATGAGTGTGCTGAAGAAAGAACCTAAAATGCTAATTCAGCAAGTGAGCTGGTAGGACCAAGTAGTGATCCATTGGTAAATTCAGATTAGATATGTATCCATACCAAAAAGGAACTTTTCTGTGCATTATGCATCAGTTTTTGTGCTGATTCATTGCAGGTCATAAGTTTAGCACGCGGTTGATTAGGAATTACTGATTCTTATGATGTAGTAATATTAATGGGTCTAGGAATGACACTGGCTTGGGAACTGCCTGTTTGATCTTGTTACATGTTTAACTCAGCAATCTTCTTCAGATCGAATTAGTTAACCAACGTGTGAATACTTTTACTCAAGTTCTTCGATTCTTTAGCATAAATTGGTGTCAAAAGAATCATTTGTTCAAAGTCATAAAACTTCTAGTCAGTCAGATTTTTGAAAATCAAAAAAACTGTTGAAAATTGACTGAATTATTTTTCTCCAGTTGGCGCTTTGCAGACATTGAAGGGTGCATTGGGGCTTCCTCTTCGTTTGGGGTGGAATGGCGATCCATGCGTTCCACAACAGCACCCGTGGAGTGGAGCAGATTGTCAATTCGACAATACTAGCAGTAAATGGGTCATTGATGGGCTGTACGTTCTTGATCTTGTGCTTCATATAACATTTTTCTGGTCCGATTGAACTATTATTTTGTTATTCACAGCCATCTTCTTTTCATTATTTGTTTGCAAGATTACTTAATTTTTTCCTTCATCAAAGGAAGTGCCTGCCAAAATTTTGACCAGTGTCACTTATGCTCTTGGATGTGAAGAGTTCTGTTCCAAATACGATGATGACAAGTTTATTGAATGGGCCACTAATGTGATTATCAGTGTTGTTGTCTAAAGTTTTTACCACTTGACAGTGTGATTGGCCTCCTTGGAGAGAGTTGTTTGTGTTAAGTTGAGATAATTAACACAACATTAGAAAAAGACGGAAAGTGGTCAAAACTTAACTTACCTCTCACAAATCACTTGTATTTATAGTTAACTTGTAATAATACAAAAGACGTATATACCCTCTAATATTTACACATAATACCCTAATACTCTCAACAGTTTGATTCACTCTTCTGTTAATCCATAATGAGGTTTGTATGGGTCACAGATATTTGCCAATAACTTAAGGACAATGAAGTTTTGTTTTACAAATTAAAAGTCTAAACTGACAAAACCTATATTGTAAATCATTTGGTCAACAAAACACTTATTTTCCTAGTTTGTTCTATCTCAACACAATAATCTGACTTTTATCACTTGGCATTTTGCTACATGAAGTATTTTTTTCCAATTCATGCTGGTATATGGCCGTATTAATAATATATCAACCCTCATGTCTTTCCTGACTGCATTCTTGGTCTTAGTCTTATTCATTTGTCTCTTCTTGCTGCTCATCAACTCTACCTATCATTTCATTCATATGTAGCATTCTCCACCAGGCTGACTGATGAACGTCTCTATGCTTTTTTTGGGCCATTAAATTTGACTGTCTCTCTGTAACTGCTAGGGTCTCTATGTGAAATGGAATCATATTCCATTAATATTATATTACACATATTGCAGTATATAAATTCCGTGTAGTCTTGCTTATCTTAAAGCCTATTAGTTCGAGAGTTTCTATCCCTAGATTCAATTTAAAGTTGTAAGCAAACAACTTTCTTGTGGAGCCTTCTTATTAAGAATCAGATGTTAGCTTCTCAAAAAATAATGAGGAAACAACAACACCTCCCCCCCCCCCCCACAAAAAAAAAAAAAAAACCTAGGTGCTGGTCTTACTCTATTGGAAAGTCCAGCTTGTCCTCATACCTGGTATTGTTGATGGATATTTTTTGGGGACAAAATTATGGCAATGTGGATTTTCTTCATTAGTTTCATCCAAGAGATTGTAAGGATTGCATTGTAGTTGTAGAATTCGATGAGGTGGACCTATAATGCAGCCCTAGGGTTTATTGGAGAACTTTATGACTATAGTCTGAAACCAACAATTCCTCCCCAAGAGGAATTGCAGAATTTTTGAAGGGAAGGAAGAGGAGAGAGGAGTTGTTATGGGATAGAGTGAAGTTTTTGGCTTCTCTTTCGGCTGTGATAGTTTCAGGAAACTCCATCGGTTCTTCAACACAATTGAAAAGCTTCTTCTTTTTGAGAATGATAAGAAGAGCAAAATCAAGAAATAAGAGAGCATAAGATGAAGTCAAAATAGGAAATTTAGAACTGAGAGGAGAAGAGTACTAAGAGAGAGAGCATAGCCAGGAAAAGATGTGTGGGAGAAGAAGTCCCAGCACCAATTCACTCAAAGAGTCCAATGCTTCCTGTTTGACCTATGGGGTATTGCAACTGAAGTTACTGAACTAACATGAATTTAAGCTTTTGATGGGTGTCAGAAGCTATTGGATGATATGATAGCTACAGCCATTCTCAACTTTCAAGAATGCAGGCCTTCTGTTGTGAGTTGAGAATATATCCATTGGTAGAGTTTCCATATGTCTTTAGTAATGGCGTTGCTTGGAATATGAAATTACTTTTGTCAAAGAATGTGCTTGGACATCCAAAGGCTCTGTATTTCCACTTCAATGTTGTTAGGCATTTCTAGGTGGACAGCCCAAGTTGTTGTTTGTGTTTTTGTTTCTAGAATTCCCACTCCGTGAACCTTGATGATATGACTATATGGTTGCCCTTGCTCATGAATGTATATGATGATCTGTATGAATCATACAAACTGTTATTGGTATCTTGTTGCCTCTTTTGCTGCTTATTTTTCTTTCCATGTGGTTTTGGATGTGCTTCCTGACCCAGACCTAGCATTTTCAACAGGCCAGACTCATTTACCACCACCAACTATATAGTGTCCTTGTATGGATGATTGGTGTTATTGAAAGAAAGTATTCCACTAATTAAAAATAATGTTAATCTTCTGATAGTAATTGGTTTCATATAGATTGTTCTTGTTTTGTAATTGACAACCATGTCCTGGCAAGGACATGTATTCTAGTGAGTTTATGACCATAGAATATCCATTTGATATTTAACAAATAATACTGTACGTATCTCTTCCATTACTTTTGTTTGCCTGTTTTAGGTAACTAACAATTTTTTTCCCTTTGGAAGGTCAGTGGTCTTGACAACCAAGGTTTGACGGGTTTCTTACCGAATGACATATCTCGACTTGGTCATCTACAAAACATGTAAGGTTTCAACGAGTGTATTTCTTCTATTGCTTTAGAGAGCCCAATTTCAGTTGCATTTTCTTTCTTTGATAAGGAATAAGGATACAGTTATCCATCAATATATCTGTTTCTTTCAGTTGTCATTTGAAAATGTGGTCTGAAAGACGGACTATGATATTACCCGTATTCCAGGCCAACTTGCTTTTACCTGGACGGAGTAACAAATAAAATAAGTAATGACTACTAAGCTTCTTCCTAGCTCTGTCTCGTTATCTCCTATATTTGGTTAACTTTTGCATCAACAGAAACTTGAGTGGAAACCGTATTCATGGATCCATTCCTTCCTCGCTTGGGACAATAGCTAGCCTACAAATGCTGTGAGTAAAAAAAATTGATTATTGACCATTTACTTCAGTCATTTCTATCGCGTCTCTTTAGAATGTAAATACTACTGTTTATGAAGATAGTTATCTCGGCAACGTAGATCTATGATACCCTGTATCCATCTGTTTCCCAGTAATTGTGATAATTGGATTGCTAAGTATAGTTTTTTGCAAAAATGTTTTCCGTTATATTTTTGTACATTGAAATCGCCTGTTGTCTCACTTGAAGTAAAGCTTGTTTGTGATTTGTTCAATTCAGTCAGTTTTTTTTCTCTCTGTAGCAACTAAACATGGATGGTATATAAGAGCAAAATACTATACCCAACTACATACTTGTATTAATATATCAGTCTCTTTTTTTCCAAATATTCATGGAGTGATAAATTAATTAATAAGAAGGCACCAAAAAGTTATTGTTAGGCTTCTAAATAAAGCTCTGTGTAATTTTTTAGACGTTCCTGGAAAAATTATTTGGAAAGAGGCTGGAAAATGTTATAGATGACATAGCCATAAATTGTTGCTGGAGTCATATTTGTGGAAAGTAATGTGGAAAAAAAATGAATTTCTTTATCATAAAATGGAAACTCCCAGACTCCTAATATACAGGTCTTTGATGTGTAATTTATTTTAAAGCATATTCTATGCCTGGTATGGCTCTTTATTTGTTAGCTACTCTTATTGAAGTATTGTCTAACCATAAAGTTGCATGGCAGAGACCTTTCATACAACTTTTTCAATGGATCAATTCCTGAAAGCCTTGGACAGTTGACATTATTACGGATATTGTAAGATCTTTCAAGCATCTGAAAATCCTTTGAAATGAGAATATATGGAACAGAATTCTAATCTATGTCATTTGTGGTGCAGGAATCTCAATAGCAACTCCCTCTCAGGAAGAGTCCCGGCCACTTTAGGAGGAAAGCTGTTGCACCGAGTGAGCTTTAAGTATGTTCTCACTAAAGTCAGTTGAAAGCTTAGGCTTTAGTTTGATGTTGCACTAATTTTTTAAAGATTAGGAGGTGATACACGTGTTGTGTGTTATGGGGCATTTGATCAGTTGGATCTGAATGAGATATTGAGATGGTCAGGAGAGGTAAAGATAGGAGAGAAGATTAACAACAGTTGGCCTGAAGTCATGGATTCTAGTCCAAAGGCTATAAAAAGTTAAAAGAAAGCTATGCTGATTAGAATAGGGTGCTTGATCCTATGTAGAGTACCCATGATGCAGAAATAACAAGGCAGCATTAGCTAATGTTAGCGGGCCTGCTAGCCTGCATCAGTGGACATATGGGCATCAGCCATTAGTGTTAGCATTATCTAGTCCATTAGATTCAAAGGGTTTCTTGGGTGCCACTTATTGTGGAACAGCTTTCCCTCCCTGGCATGGCCCATACATGCACCGTGGTTTGCATGGGATTGGAGGCTTTGCTGGCCCTTTACACTGTCACCAGTTCAACTCCTCTAAATAACCTATGTTGGCATCACTTTCCAGGGTCACGCCACTTGACGCAACTATGGGGTCCCCTTTCATTTCTTTGTCATTTTATGAAAACCTATCTCCTAACCTACTAGCATCAACTATAGTTACATAGAACATCACAAGTTTGAGTCTAAACTGTGTATATCAAACTTTTTATCAAACGATGGGGTCTCCTGAGCGTGCTTATGGACCTGACAAATATAAGGTTTTGTAGGGCTTCTAGTGTCTGAAACAAGGCCTTACCCTGGTCTGTGTCAGTCCAGTGCATGCATTCCTTCCACTCCCTGAATGAATGGAGTTGACTCTGCCTCAGGAAATGCCTTGGTGTCATCCGATGCCCATCGTTCTGAAGTGTCCCCAAGCCCTATGCAATGTGATTGGTAGTTCCGCTAATGTATTGCTAGCATCAATAGAATGTATGGATACTATGTTAGTAACATTAGCACAAAAGATATAATTTTTTGACAATATATGAACAGTTGAAAAATGGAAATGTTAGGCATTCAATTGCAATGGGTACTCGACGTGCAGATACTTACTGCATGTATGTCCAGTTTTACTGATAATGCAGGTCTTTGTGGTATACCTGGATTAAGAACATGCGGGCCTCACCTTTCCCCTGGTGCAAAAATTGGCATTGGGTTTGGGGTTTTTGTTGCACTACTATTCATTGTCACCTGCTTAACATGTTGGTGGAAAAGGCAGCAGAATATTCTCCGAGCCCAGAAAATTGCAGGTAATTATAATAGGAAAAGACATTAAGAGAGTTCTCATGTATGAACACACAAACATGCACACAAAAAATATTATGCATGAGGTGAGCATGGGTTCTTCTAACAACTTTTACCATCTCCCTTCTTTTGTTTCCGTACAGCAAGAGACGCTCCCTATGCAAAAGCAAGAACTCATTTCTCTCGTGATGTGCAAATGACTAGGCATCATGGTCATGAAAATGCTCGGACTGCTACTGAGAATGGGCCAAGCTTACTTTCTTAGTAGCCATCCATTGATTATTGAGATGCTAACCAATCAAAGTGTGCTCCTTTTTGGCAAGTTAACGCTGCATACCGTGTGAAACATGGAGCGCTACGAATTCAATTGATTCAGCTTTGCAACATGTCTTGATCTTCTTGTACTTTCATCATGTGCGTACCTCTCCAACAACAGCTCTGTTCAGCAATCCCCGGGAGGTTGTAAGATCACCTGAAAGGTCATGTCTCTCCTTGGACATGCTTTCACATGTTGAAGAAACTTGTATATTGCTTTTGTTGTTCAGTTTTGGCTGAAATGTGGTGTAACATTAAAATTGATTTATACAATAATCAACACGAAATTTGCAGTTACATGCTTGATATTTGATCTAAATTATGTTACGAAGTCGATTAATATGAACAGGTGATAAATTTTGTTCTGGGATTCATACTCTTGTACATCTTTGTTTTGTTTGTCTTTTAATTTATCATCCGAGTGCATATCATAAATAATATATTGCAGGATATGATTAGGTTATTATGCTATAACAGTTGTCTTCAAAATTGAGTGCAGTCTCTTCTATGAAGAATTATCTTTTGGGCTGTATTGTTTGCTTCCATAGTCCTTTTAAGTGATGTGCATTTACAGCTTTGAGTGACTAAGGGGGTGAACCAAATGCATCTGGAAGCAGCACTTACCTTTTACACTAGTGAGGGGTGTGTGTTGTACACTTTAAGAAAAATTATTACTTTAAAATTGTGCAGGGGTGACCAGGGACAGGAGATAGGCCCACCTGGTATTCCTGGCCTGCTCTTTGGGCAGGCATATATATATATTCAGGTGGGCCCCTACAGGGGGCTTGGGCTGGCCTATATCTATAGTCTGGTGTGAATTTTCAACAGGGGCTCAACTCTAGAACTGACCGCTTACGGCTTAGTCTAGCAAAGCCCCCTGAAACCCCAAATCATCATTTTAATTTAAGAACTGTTTTTTGGCAACAAAGGCAAGGTTGTTATAATCAAAATAACTATTAGGATGATTCAGATGAAAAGGTCTCAAGAGGTACCATGTGAAGGTTCAAAATTCGAGTTTTGTAAGAGACACCCTAACTACCCTACCATGTAATAGTTGGAAATGAAACTCAAGATCTTATGATTTTATCCTTAGGCTGACTCACGCGAGCTAGACTCTAATCAACACTTTCAGATTAATTACATCCAACTTTATCCTAATGATCATGATTTTTGGTTACCCAGTTCATCCTACACAATTACATCCTTATTGAACCCAATAATTGATATTGCTATTTGTTTGTTTTTTTAATCCCAATCGATATTGTTATTTAAAAGCATCAAGTTGTGGAGGATAGAACTTTGAGAAGTCTTCCATCCATGAAACTTTTATTTTATTATTTTTGGTTTACCATAAAATTTTCTCTCGTCAAATTGTTTTATATTCCAATTTAATAATCTCCCTAATTATCCCCAGTATTAAACCTTAATATCGTAGTTTCGAATCTAATCGTTTTCTTCTATGGTATAGTGTGTGAAAAAAAAAGAAAAAAAAAGAGATAAATAGTACAAGTTTTTGTTTTCAATTGAGTAATCCAACCGAAAGAGACAAACAGATCATTTCAAACAGTCAATCAAAAAATATGGTAGTAATGACACTTGTCGGCCTTCAAGAGCAAGTCTTCACTCAAAAAACCAAAAAAAAAACATTTTTCATTTTTTTTTAACTCCAAAAAAGCACTTCATAACCCCACTGGGGTGGTGCACCACTAAACCACAACCGGTTCACCACCGCCTAACCGAGTCAAGAACCAGGACTCGCCACTCAGAACTCAGCCCAAGATTTAACCAACTCATGCCTATCTCCTCCTAACTTCTTTTTTTTTTTTTTTAACACAAACATACATAATTAAAACACAAGTTACTCACTAACATATGATATAGATTACTTACCCAAAAAAAAAAAAATATTTGATATAGACAAGAGATAGGTATGAGTTATAAATTCAGACGTTTTGAATTTAAATTTTGGCAACATTTGGGAATAGGCTATGATGGATAAATTTCTCATGAATATCTTAGTTTTGACCTGGACAATCTGATTTTGACCGAACTGAGAAAGAGATAAATAGAAGTATGCATAAGTTAATTCGAATACCTCTGATCGTTGAATTAAAGATAAAAAAAAATATAGACAACAAGATAGTTATTGACGAATTCATAGTTCACGATCTAGACACAAATACGGTACCATCTAAGACAGAGGCCTGGTAGCAACTGCACTCCCAAATTCACTTATTGAGAGTAAACACTCACTAGTGGGTCAATTAGTAAACCAAAATTTAATTTGAATATGTGATTGATTAGTCGAAAATAAGTTACTAAATTTAGCTGATTATTCGAATTTGTGAAATAAGTAAAATTAGATCTCAATAACATTATTCATCCGAAAAAAGATATTGCACGATCACCCATCTCTAGGGTTGATAATCAAATGAGTCTGAACGGACTTGATTTTTTAAATAAATCTAAATAATTATTTAAATTCAATTCGTTTTAAAAAAAAATCAAGCTTGAACATCAAATCTGAGTCAGACTTGAACATTTACACAAAAATAAATTGAACCTATCGAATTCAAGCAGAGTTCGTCGAGCTCATTTTTTAAACGACTTTAAAAAATTATTCAACTCCAATTTATTTAAAAAAAAATTCAAGCTTGAATGAGCCCAAAACAATTTAAAATCGAGCTGAAGTCTAATAACTCAGTTCGATTGTCAATCTTACAAACTTACGACATAGTCAATTAAGAACTCAACCTTAGGTGAGCCAACTCGTGGCTGAGTCATGACTCAGAACTCAGCAAGATTTGACCCAACTCAGGGCTGTCTCCTTCAAGAATAATGTACTCTCCACGTGGGGGCCTGACAGCAACTATACCCACCAACACTATTCACTACAGAACAAAAGACTACTATCCAATCAGTTGCCGACAACGCACACTCTCACCCCCACCTGCCATCTGAGTTCTGATCCACCCACCGTAATCAATACGTACAATATGTCAGTATAAATATATATATATATATATAGAATATAAAATATATATATATTGTATTCAGAAATGGTTTATTAAATGGATGAGAAATGGCAGGCGCCGCTGAGCAGCGCCGTACACGGTGGTGTAGGGCATACGTAAGCCTGCGTCGTGTTGGAGTAGTCACGTGACTGAAAGAAAGCTCCACCCACTTTGACACGTCTTATCAGGCGGCGGCTCCTGCCTTCTAGTTTCCACCAATCCTTCCACCAGTTTTTCACAAAATTACTTATTACCCCCCCCCCCCTTTTTTTATAAAAATACTTTGAATTTCAAAGGTGTAAGACTCTCTGATAAGCGCCTCCTATTGAAAAAAAAATATAACAAAATATAATTTTTTTATTTTTTTTTTGCTGACATTATTACAAGGAAAATGATGCTATTTTCTCGGAATTTTTGAGAATAAAGAAAAAAAAATCTTTGTTAATCCAACTTTGCTTACTAATCTAAGAAGGGTCAGGATTGATCCTGATGGAGTACGGTATGTTACCAGCTTGGTTGTAAATGTTTTTATTTGAATACCTAACAAATAGAAAATGGAATTTGAAGTTTTCAGCAGCCAATGGGTCCCACTAGTGGTTCCAATTGCGAAAGAGAGGAGGCTGATCAAAATCGGACGGTAGAGATATCATAGAAGACGAAGTAATGAGGGACACAGAATAGCTTGTTGCCTGTTTATTTAAGAGAGGGGTCTTGCCGCCCAGCCGACGATTACGGGAGACTCAGTGGGTCCCTCCCACTTTTACACACAAACACATACTCTCTGTTTGCTGTGCTCTTTTAGCCTCCACCTTGTCTCTCTACAACCTCACTTTCTCTCTCTGAAAAACCTTCCTCATCATCCATGGCCTCTGCTCGTGAAGGACACTACAGAGGAGTGAGAAAGAGACCATGGGGTCGCTACGCAGCTGAGATACGTGACCCATGGAAGAAAACTAGGGTTTGGTTGGGAACTTTCGACACTCCAGAAGAGGCAGCTTTGGCTTATGATGGTGCAGCTAGGTCTCTCAGAGGTGCTAAGGCCAAGACCAACTTTCCGGCGCCGGTGACTGCCACTGGGTTGTCTCTTGATCTTAACTTGCCGTCTGATCGCCGGTGGACTTCGCCCTCCGGCCGTCTTGTTATTGGAGAGCTTCTTCAGACCGGTGTGCTTAAAGACGTGGGATTTGACGGTGCTGACTCTTCTGTGAACAATGACCGTCGTGTTGCAGTGTCCGGTGAGGTTCCGGTGACGGAAAGTGAAGGTCCGGCGAAGTATTTTGGGATTGTGAGACGTGGGTTACCCATAGACTTGAACGAGCCGCCACCTTTGTGGCTCTGACTGAACATAAAGGTGTATGCATAATCACGTAACGGCGTCGTTTTGGGCTCCCTATTCTCTGCTTTTAACCCTTTTTTTTTTCTTCCCATTTCTGATGCTATTTTATGCTTTGAGAGGGGAGAGAGAGAGAGACAGAGAGAGATGTATGTGAAGATCATTATGAAGAATATCATCTCAGTATATATATTTCTGGAACTTCGTTTTTTTATGGAACTAAAACCCATTAGATCAGTCGTCTCCATTCCTGTTCTTTGTATCAGTTAAATACATACAGAACTAAACTTATCCAAACTGGCACATGTGTGTGTGTGTGTTTGTGTTTGGGGGGGGGGGAGGGTCTGTGTGGAAGTAGAAAATATGGTGAGCTGTGACAGAGAAAATGGCGATGGATCATACAGTTTTGCTACCATTACTATTTACCTTGCCCCACTTATCCATCCGTGATGCTGCTATTATTTTTTATATTCATCAACTGGGAATGAAAAATCTCTCTCTATATAAAAAAGATTTAGTTTTTTTTTTTTTTCGTATTTTAACTAATAAAAGTGATCTATTTTTTCCCACGAATCAAAAAAATCAAATATACATATCAGTACGTCTATTTAATTATTTCTCGTAATCTATTCTCAAATAATTTTTTTTTTAATGATTAATGATGTTTAGATTAACGTACGTGTATTTTAATTAATTTATGTTTAAAGCTACTTTGAAAAAGAGAGAGGTGGGAGTGTAAAAGATAAGTTACTGTGAGACATATGAGAATGAGAGGACAGAACAGAGAAGCAAGCGTGTGCAAGCAGTGAAGTAGTTTTCTGTATTTCCCTTTTGGGTTTGGAAGCATAAAGCTTTAGCTGGTTTTGATAGCTTTTTATCAGGTTAAGTTTTTCATTGAAATGGAAGATTCACTTGGCATCAATGGCGTGCTATGCTATCTGTTCACTTCTGAACAACAAACAGGGTATAGGGTGGTCCAGTATTTTGGTCAAAATGTTAAATTTATAAATTTTTAATGTTAAATTATAAATTTTAAGGTATAAAATAGGAAAAATTATATCTAGTTCCTTAAATTTGATGGAATAACAGCTAGACCCTCTCTTATATTGGAAATAACACTGATCTCCTTAGGTCAGTCACGTCGTTTGTTTTGTCTAACAGAAATAAGAAAAAGGTAAATTACACAAGACCCCATTGAACTTAGGGTCATTGGCATATCATCACCATATATTTTAGACTGCAAATGTTACAGAAATCGTTTATTTTAATGGAGCGGTAATTACATGTGCTAATTAAGCATGTGTTATAAAAATTAAATTATTAATTTTAATCTTCATCTCTCTCTCTCCCCCAACCTGCAAATTTATTTTTAACACATCAAACAAATTTCTTTCTCAAATTTGAGATTATTTTTGAACTCCTTAACCCAAAATTAGCTAGACCTAATCTCCCTTTTGAAATTTTAACAAATTTTCTAAAATTTTGATTTTTAAATTTTCAAATCCTAATAGGTTTTCGTCACCACACACAGACACACATCCCCCACTCGAGTACGACTTCTAAACACTCCAATACACTGAACTACGACCTTAAAGCACAACCCAAACCTCAATTGAGGGAGAAATGATTGTTTATTATGTAACCCATAACACAACCCAAACCCAAATTTCTCTCTCTTCAACTTATTTTTTTCACCTCCACCCTTCCCTTCTAGAGTAGGCAAGTAGCAGAGTTTGAAGAAAGCAGAAGAGATTAAAGAAAAAAAAATAATCCATGGAGTGTCTGAAATTTGGAATGAATGACATTACAGAGAAAATTAAAAGACAAATGAAGAGTATTTTAGTCTTTTTACAAAAATCGCTAGGTTGTCATGATTTATACTTTATTTATAAGTAAGAAGAGATTAAGTGTCTGCAGCTGACCCTAAGTTCAAGAAAACTCTGTATTATTCACCTATAAGAAAACGAATATTCATTAGTCAGTTTTGTTATATCCAACCATACAATGCCATGTCATGCAATTCTAAGACACAAAAAATAAATGAAAAAAATTTACTAAATTAGTGAAATTGATTTTCAAAAAAAAAAAAAAAATCTAATTTACTCTATTAATAAATTTTTTTTTATACCAAATGTCAAACTAAATCTAATTAATTTTTAATTAAGTTAAATCTAAGAACAGGTCAAATTCTAATTAATTTTATTCTTAAATCAATACAATATCTATAATTTAATTGACAAGATTTGATCTGAATTTGAGATAAGTATAATTTAAATGACTGTCCTAATTAAAATAATATAATCATTATACAAATATATTTTATTATTATTGATCGATATCACTACATACCAAGGATCATGTGGTACCAGAACATTGAATATTTTCTCCAGAAATAGGTGTAAACAGATATAGTGTAGACGTCATCATGTAGATGTTCTGGGCGCGTGACTTGAAACATGTTAAGGGCGCGTGGAATATATGCCGGCTTTTGAATCGCTTCCCCTCTCTCTCTCCTCGGAAACTGATGGGTGCTTCTACTTCCCCACGTATTTTATTTTAAATTAACATAAACTATCAATATTATAACTCAAATAAAAAAAAATTAACATAAATTATCAATATTTAGTTTACAGCCTTTCAATTGTGTTCATTTGGTCTCTAAGATTCTTAATTTGTATCTATGTAATTCAATTGTAAACGTCTGTTAAAAAATTATTAATTTCTTTGATCACACGCTAATTATGTGGGAATTTTAGATATCAAATTGATACAAAATTAGGAACCATGTGATTATAGGTCATCAAAACTGTTGTCACGATTTTCTGACGAACGTTTGAGATTGAACCACGTACATACAAATTAAGAACCTTAAGGACTAAATAAAAATAATTGAAAGATTAGAAACCAAATATACACTAATTGCATACTTTGAAGACTAAAAAAATAATTTACCCTTTAAAAAATTTATAAATCGTTAGTCGTGAAAACAATTGAATAAAATGACATAATAAAATAAAAATACTTTATTCATGTCACCTTGTCATTTTTTTTAATCAAACAACCAGCATAACCATTTTATTAAATAGAAAAATTGAGATTACAATCAATTAAAAGTAAAGCCTTACGTTCGGGAGGAGAATTTGGGCATCAAAAGAGTGAGCCCCGATACTATATAAAGACTGTGTCTAGTGTTTTTTTTTAATGATCGTACAAGATGTTGATAACAAAATTTTGATATTATACGTTTTAAAAACTCTTTTGAATATGTATGTTATTCCGATCTTTATATTATAAATTTTTTGTTTACATATTTATTCGAGAACCTTCCGAATTGCATGAATCGGATAACTATCAAATTTTTATAAGTCAATGTCTTTAATCATTCCTAAAGTTAACCTACCGTCTTCCCAAATATTCAAGTGTAACATTGACGATGACTAATAAGAATAATAATTAAGAGGATTTGCCTTGTGGAGGGTGTCTTTTCGAGGTCAAATGTTTAATTTTTTTAAGGGACAAAAAATATGATTAGTTGATAAGACGAATTTTATTTGTTTAGACAAATTGATTTATGTATTCAGAGTTTATCTTTGATTCTATTTGAATTTACGAATCGGACTAATATAAGCGCGTCTCTATTTGTCAGGGTAGAGAAGAGAATTCCCCAAAAGAGGAAAAAGAATGAGATGGTCACCAAATGGTAGTCGTTATTAAATTGGTCAAAAACACTCTAAATTCTCCCATTAAGACTTCATATCACCCGACCAAGTCATATACTCGAAGCAAGCAACAGCACAAGGCACTTTGACTACACTTTGGTACTCAATATTTATACATAATTTGGCTTGTATACTTGTAAATTTCGATTGTTTTTGGTAGAAAATTTGAGGGTTAATTCCAATACGTATTCTTTTTTGATAAGCAATAATATTTTTTCACTACAAGGGAAAGGGGACGGCGGACTTGATCCTCCTACTTGTCACTCTATTATAGAGTGTTCCAAGCATCCGGTAGGACATCGTTTCTGATTCAAATACACATTCTTGTAGTTAATTAAGTTTAAATAAAAAAGTATCTCTAAGACGGACAAGATAAGTGAGAATTCATACCAGTGAATTTAGAGATTTTTCTCTTGACTTTTTGACGGTGATGAAAACGTTTTCTGATAGGCCTTTTTTTTAAAATAATTTTTACTGTGATTCAAACATCCACGATAAAGGAAAAAGGCCAAACCAATTCAAGAATCTTATTTTCTGTTTAGTTTGTATATCTGAAATTGTTTTTTGTTTTCAGAAATTGTTTGTAGAAAAAAAAATTGTTTGGTCAGTTTTTTTTTTTTTAAATTGAGAACAAAAATTCGATAAATTTAGAGAACAAATTTAAATTATTTTATGTGCTTTTGAAAACAATCTTTTTAGAATTTAGAAAATACCACAATCAAGTCCACCACAACCCACCACCACCCTTCCACCAACACCATGACACCACGACCACCATATTTTTATTTTTATTATTTTTTGAATTATTGTTCAAATAAATTTTAATGTGTTCTTATTATATAGAATTGTTTTGGTATCATATAACTAAATAAGTTCAGTGATAAAAAAAAGTATTAAAAATAATTTTCTAAAACTCTTTTAAAAAATAATTTTTAAATATTATTTTTTCAACCGTAAATCAAATAGGACCTTAATCTTAGTTTCGATTTTTCCCAGATGTGCCAAAACCTCCTTTAGATGCATTACATAAAATATAAGAAATCTTGGACGATGAAGAAAATATAATTTTTTTTTGAGCAAGTAAAACTTTTGCAATGCATTACAAAAAAACATTTCAATTAAAGTTTCACTAGTCTAAGTAGGATTTCCACCCATACTCGATTTTAGATACAATTAAAGCCACCATGACCCCACATAAAAGTGATGACATCACAAATAATTTTTCTTCTAATGTCAATTTTTATTCTTAGCTAGGTAAACAAATTTGAATTGTTAATTGACCCATTTTCTAAGACTTATATATAATAAAAAAATAATATTTATCTCATCATCTAATTTGAAAAGGGCAGCTAAAATAAAAGTACAAATAAAAAACTAAAAGGATCATGTTCATAATACAAAGAACATTATGATATGCGGGGTATTTTTTGAAAATATTAAATGCGTATTATTGTCGGTTAACAAGTTTCTCTCGTTGAG